GCAGGCACCGCACGGCATCTCCCGGCAGCAAACGTGGCAGCCCCATACCCTAGGGCTGCAGCTCCTGGCATGCACCTTCCTGCTTTCTGAGCCTGTGAGGACACCATTTCCCCCCCACCGCGCTGCCGACACCGCACCCAGAAACCCTGCTGAGCCCCCGAGCGCTCCCCAGCACGGCTCCAACAGAACCCCACCAGCTCTGACACGGTGCGGCATTCCCCTCCCCTGCCCCTCTGACATGGACCCCACCGCCCTCCTCAAGACTTTCCCCAGGACCCGCTGCTCAATCGCCTGGCCCCTGCTCACCTTCTCCCTCGGTGCAGCCACAGCCCAGCGATGCTCAGGAACAGCTCTGCTCCTCCCGCGGCTCGCACTGACCCCTCCATGGGGCAGGGCAAAGGCCTCTCCACTGGCAGCCACCCCTTCCCAGGGAGGGGCCATCACCATCAACCTCACTGCCCCCACCTGGGGCTTCTCCAGCCCTGGCCCACACCTGGAGCCACACAGGAGCAGAGGGCCGTCACCAGACCCCCATAGCGCAGCACCTTCTCCCCTGGGCTCCCTCCCAGCCCCTCGCCCGCTGCAAAGGGACTGCAAACAGCAGCTGGGAGGGCAAAGGAGAAGGCAAGCATGTGTTCAGTCACACATGTAACAAGTCCCAGGAGCGAGTCTGCTCCAGGGCTCAGGGCCTACCCCTGGGATACCTCAACAGTTGTTGCCTGAGCGGTGCTTATCGGCCCGGCAGGGAACAGAGTTGGTAGGTTGGCTGCTGGAGCAATGGAGACAGAATTCTTGTAGACTGTGCTGTGGCTATTTCACTCCTTCTCTTACTTCCCAGAGGGCAGGAGACAGGTATGCTTGCACAACCTGATTACTGCTGCTTACAGTGCAAAAGGCACTATAAAGCAGCAACAAAGAACAAGGATGGCCTATCGAATGGTAGAAGCAACATGGAGAGCCTAACGCATTAAGCCAGACAGGGCTTGGCAACTAACCTTGTGTCATGGTTTAATCCCAGATAGCAACTAAGCACCACAAAACCGCTCACTCCCCCCATTCCCAGCGGGATGCGGGGGAGAATTGAAAGGGTAAAAGTGAAAAAACTAATGGGCTGAACAGCACCCCTGCCAAACTACCTCCTAGTTTTATTACTGAACAGGACATCATGGTCTGGAATATTCCTCTGGCAAGTTGGTGTCAGCTGTCCCAACGGTATCCCCTCCCAACTTTCTGTGCACCACCAGCCTACTCACTGGTGGGGTGCTGTGAGGAGTCAGGTGGGTTGCAGGGAAGTGGGGGGGGTTGGGTGTCAGGAATGAGCAGGTGGAGGGGTGCATGCAGCACCTCAGGGGTCCAGAGGCAGAGGCATCAGGGAATAGTGGGGGGCAGGCAGGTCATGACATAGGAGAGCAGGGGATGCAAGTGGGCATGTCACGCACATGGAAACACACTCGTGTCAAAAAAATGGGAGAGGAACGACACAGATGGACCAGAGGGACAGGGTGGGAGATGACAAGACAGGCCAGGAGGGACGTGTGTAGAAACATGCATGGGGAGATGTGTGTAGGACCACCTATACCAAAAGGTCACACCTGGGATAATCTACAGCAGATCACTCACCTTGGATAACCCGCAAGAGATAATTCACTCTGGATGACTGACCCACACCAGATAATCCACACCAGCTGCCCCATAGCAAGGGGAGTATGCACGTCTCTTGCTCAGGCTCTGCTCCACAATGTTTTCCCTCCCTTCCCATGCTGGGATGGGTTCCCCAGGGTAACAAATGTCCCCTGTCCCCACCAAACAGCCCCAGCTGCCGCAGCTGCAGGGCACCCACTGGAGACAGAGCAAGGAGCCTCCAGAGGCAGGGCTGTCTCCTTATGGTGAGTATGCTTAACAACCAGCAGGCAAACCTGGGCTGGGGTTATCAGTGGAGCATCACGAGACACTTACTACAACTCATCTGAAAAACAAAAATCCTAAATTATATTTCAGCACATTAAAAGAGTAAAACAGAAGAAAGAGGAATTCAGTCAGAATAAGCGATAGGATAGCAGTTGAGCTAAAGGAGGTCAGCTTGAAATACAACACATCCTTTAAAAGCTAGAGTGATATGAACACTTAAATCAAGACTAATTGATACAATTTTGAACAGATTCTTAGCATAAAAGTAAACACACTTGCTGGTGTTGGACAATGTCTCATCTCTTCCTTACAGCACGGCTGCAGGGAGATAACCTTGTGAGGCTGCAGGTCAAGGCTGTAATGTAATAAGAATCTATTCTACAGATCTAATTTTGGACAGGATAAACGATCCTCATGTTTCTGAGCTCGTATGAGTCAAACAACACAAACGGCTATTGCAAACTGCTTCCTTTACCTGAATGACAATGAATGACATTCTGGGGGCACCGAGCAGGCATGCCACAATCATTGAGAAAGAAAGACGCATGCCACTAGGCTGCACAGGAAGGCCAACTTCCAACGAGGTTACTGAGAGAGAACTGGACTATGACTGAGCAGCATTACAGATTCTTCCTGTGTACTGCTGTTCTAGACATGAGGAACAGTCCAACATCTGAGCTGCGCAAAATTGTGTTTTAGCTAGTTTTACACTCTTTTTGGCTTGATCTCTGAACATTTCACTCTGCAACTAAGGATCTGGTCCTTGCTTCGTGAAAAAGCATCTGCATATGTGGAAGACAATGTAGACTTGCAACGAGCATGCTGATAAACATCATTAGGGCTGTGATGTCTTTGGCATGACAGTCTAACCTTACTGCCCCTCAAAGTCCTATTATGCTACCTAAGTTGGATGTGTACAGAACAATTATACAAAAAGGATCGTTCTTCCCAAAAGTGGCAAAACCAAATTTTTGCCTTACTTTACTGTAAGACAAATCTTTCAGGTCAGCAGTCTCAAATACAGTTCATAGCAACAACTCCTGTTGCTTCTGCTCTTAAGAGAGGCGATTAGAGTTCATTTTCCAAAGTTTGGCAGGAAAATTATCTTCCAATTTCACTTCTACAGCACACATACTTGGAGGGTTCTTCTGTAACTTGAGATCACTGGTAGACTGAGTCAAAGCCTCAGCTTTCAGCTGTATCCTGTCATCACTGTCTTCACCGTCAGACATGGAACTTACTTCTTGAATTTTCAAGAGATCTCCACTACTGAAAGTCTTCTCTCTGTTACTGGAACTCATTCTCAGGGCTCTTCTTGGAAGGTCTTCCTTTCTCGAGCTGATCTTCTGAAGTTTAAAAGAGAGCTTGTTTTCCTCTCCTGCAATATCAATACAGTCAAGTGAACAAACCTGTTCTCTTCTGGTTTTGTTGTTATTGACAGGACTATTCAAAGGAGATGATAGAGACAAGTTTTCTTCTTGCTCTTTAACACTGTAAGGAGGAGTAGGGACTTCAAATGTAGCATGAAACTGAGAATAATCGACGTGGAAAAAGCCATCTTCTAGGGACATTACCGGGAGGAATCTGTGACCCCAAAGAACTTCATCTTCTGTATACGAAGTCCTAGCTTGACACGTCATTCCTATGGAAACAGAGACGAGAACATAACATTCTAATGGCAGCAAGTAGACCAGCATATAGAACAAAAAATACAAGGTAAGGCTGATGGATAAAAGTCAATTGTAGCCTGGAAGCTAACAAGTTTATAGATTGTAAAATGGAGCGATTGTTCCTAGTCCATCTCCCAACAGTCAATGGAGTGCCTCTAATTGATTGACTAGCTTTTTATGCAAACATTGGATTAAATATTGCAGACTCATGCTGGGCAAACAGTTTCTGATAAAAGCAAAACATAAAATTAGACAGCAGTAGCTCACTAGCAACAACAACTTTATAGTTTATATGTAATACTGTTTCTTGGAAGTCAGCTTGGGAGAAAGAACAGTTTCTTTGAAGCTTTCTTCTAAGTTTGGCAGAGGCTTACTGAATTCTCTGGCAAAGATGGGGTGTGGGGGGAGCTAAAGCTAAATGAAAAATTTAATCTTCCATTCCTTCTATAGGCTAGGCTACTTTTTCTCCAAACAGCATGTCGAGACAAAATCTGTGCGGAGACACTGCAGCTGTCTTCCATGCTAAGACATATGTACTGCTGTAAAGCTTGTACAAGAATTTGTTCCACTTAGTGCAAACATATATCATTGGCAGTACTTACATGCATGAACTGACAGCTAAAATGTGTTCTCACAAAGCCAACAAATTTGTTACAAACTCAGCATAACAGTGATTATTATAATTAATACATGTATCCCAGGTGAGCAGAACTTTAAGACTTCCTGTCATGGTACTCTTCAGAGGCAGAATTAGCAGTCAGTAAGCCCAAACTCCGATTTGCTCTCCAATTACTGCTACATTAATTCTCATACAAGTGTAAAATGTTTCCCTTGCAATACCTGGTTAGGTAATTCCATTAAGTGGGGTTACGAATGTATGCTTATCTAAGATACAGGGTTCAACTGCAGGATGAGGAGAGTTTTCTGTGGGGATCTAAAGACTGCTGCACTCGATGTGAAATTCTGCCCCAGCAAACTGTGTATTTGTTTAGGGCTCAGTCCAGCACATGGGTAGTAATTCATCAGTTCTGTTTCCTGTCTGGCATGAGATGACTGCACTTGGCTGCACCAAAAGGACATCACTGTTTCTAAGGCAGGAACTGGGAAACCAGTAATCTTGTTCAAAGGATGAAAATGCATCTTGATTAGTCAAAGTTTAACAAATCCTCAAAAGAAGGGAGAGGAAGATCAGAATATTGATGAACCTACTGAATGATTTTGACTCTTAACAGTACGCATGGATTCTCGATGCATAGCTTCTTACGTAACCACAGCGCGTTGTCACAGCATTCATAAAAGAATAAAATCCTCAAAACACAAGGCCACAACATCAGCTGTCATATGGACAATGCCATGTCAGAATTAAAAAAAAAAAAAAAAAAAAAAGTAAAAAAACGAAAGTTAAAAAACCCAAAAGCCCTGCTCACATTTGCTGATAACCACATATTCCTACAATCTTTGCAACTACGTGGTCTGTATTTGTACTGTAAAACTGGATTTATTATTTTTCATTCAATTTAATGCAAGCTAGGCTGAAAGTGATTTTGCATCACTGGCAACTTTTAAAGTTCAACGTTATTTCAGAGTGGTGGTCCTTAAAACAGGAGTCTCATGAGGGTGTTGTACTCCTCTGCGTGCCATACTGAAAGAATGGCAGGGTGCATCTCTTCTTGGATGTACTGGCCACTTTGGGCATCGGTAATGCAGAGCCCTGTGAGCAAGGGAGGTCTCCTATTGGCTGTCAGTGGCCTCTGAAGCTCTGTAGCATATGGCAGGATATTCTGGAGCATCCAGGCTTAGTATCCTGAAAGGATTAACAGCTGTCTTGCAAAAAAATATCAGGACTGAAAAGAAAGAATGAAAATTAGAGCATGCATATTATTCTAAATCTTACCGGTAGTCTCAACGATTCCTTCAAGGATGACAACTATTTCAAATTGCTCGCTTCTTAGTGATCTTTGTGAGAGACAAAAAAAGGGGCTCTTTGAGTTAATTTCATGACAGATAGTTAGTGGAGAAACCAAAAACAGCTGGTCGGCTCCAGTTCCAAATCCAACATCCAGTTCACACTGGTCTAGTGGCAGAAATTCTCCCTCCGGTGTCTGTCGGGACTAAAGATGGAAAGATGATTTAATAATCACCGTGTGAGGCAAAGCATGAAATCAATGCAATGAAGTCTAAACCTGCCTCTTTCGTGACATTACCATCTACAGGGAGATATAGGTAATGCTAAATAGTATAAGGCTACTATATATGACCGATTTTGACTTTTCTTACCATGCCACTAGATCTTGTCACGATCTACAAACTTTGCTATATGATATATATTTTTTTTGACAAAAAAATCAGGTACCACATTACGTGCCTTATAACGGATGTTTGCCAAGAACATCCTGCAGCAAAAGTTCCCATTAAGGAGAACAAAATCTACAAGCCAGGCACATTATAAGCCATTGCCTGAATTAATGTTTCATTATTTTCATATGTTACTAATGTTTGTTTGGCAGACACTGTGAGGTACTAACTCAAAGGTAAGCATCATAGTAATTGTACAGTATGTCTGGTAAGTGATGTTTCCACAAAACCATCTGAATCACTATTAACAATGCTATCATCCCTTGCCAATTTGCATGTACCTCCTACTGTATGTTGAGATTAATAATGAACTTATGATCATTATTAAGCTAAGTGCCCCACTTTTATTCACACCATTTCATGGGTTTGATAAAAATACCGATATGATGGCTCCCCCCGCCCCATAGTGTTCCCTGCAAATTTTCCTGATATTAAAAATTACATCAGTTGCCCAGGCAGCTCCTCAGCTGATTGCTTTAAAGGTCTCTGGTGGAAATTGACCATTAAAATTAGAAGCTTTGCAGAGCCTACTTAAAATCCTTTCTGCTTATTCTTGATTAGAAAGCACTTAACTCTTTCAGAAGAATAATGAAAGATTATTCTGTAGTTACTAAATAGTTTTAACTGTGTTGCATTGGTATTGGCAAATGTATTGGTTTCATTGTTTGGAAACACCATCCATTAGTCCTGAGAGCAAGCAGAAGCTAGCAGCTTTGCCGTTGACTTAGATCTGATTGGTATTCTTTTAAGAAAGTCTCTGTCTTTAAAAAAAAATCCATAAGCAACTAGTGTACCTCCAGATTATCTCTCCACTTTACCTACATCTTAAAAATGCTGAATTTTTAACTGCCTGGTATTTACTGGTGGCTACATAATTTTTAACTGCCTGGTATCTACTGGTACCTAACATACAGTTAGGTAGCTGGTTGAGTACAGCTCCTTCTTAAATACAACGCATTATTTCATTCATGTGCTATGTGTCTGGTTTCTGTTGAAGAAAAAAAAAAATTCTTCCTATCTAAATAACCACGTTCTCCCTTACACAAGATTCCGTTTCTCCACTACTGATGAGGGCAGGGAAAATATCAGCTTATTGCTTGTAAAAGCATTCTCACAGATTATTCGGGCTTTGAAAGGTAAAAGTGCTATAAAATATAAGTGATCAAAACCACTACTACATAGCGATAGTGACAGCCCTTGTCATATGCAAAGGTGTAATCAAACTACTGCAAAAACATCCTTTCTCTTTCCCCGAGAGAACCTGCAGAACTAAGCTGCGGACTACGCCTCTAGTTTTGAGGCCTGGCTACTGTTCTTTCAGCGGGTGCACAAATTGGTTGGCAACGCACAACCTTTGCTCCAAGGTAACAAGGCTCAACACGAGCTGTATGAACCAACCTCTAAACCTCAAAGATTCCCAAAGTTTTATCAAACACAATTACCTAGACAAAGATGTGCATATTTGCACAAATTGCTGCCTGAATGACTTAAGAACTGTTTAATCCACAAACCGCTTTTTTTCTGTGGAACAGTCTTCAATCAAATCCACTCAGTAAACAAATCCAATGAGGATTAGAGGTAACGGATCTGGGAGAAAGCAAAAGGTTGTGTCTGAGGTATTCAGTATCTTACATACAGGACTGATTTATGCATGGCATGGAGAATTTTTAAAAGAAACTTATTTGTGAAATAAAAAGAAATTAGACTGAATAAAGATAGCTTAAAAGCCATAATACGTTAAAAGTCCTAGCCAGCGACCTTTGTTGCATATATGTAGCTTTACTCAAAGGGTCACAAAACAGCACAGAGGACTATAAACTGTCAGCAATAAGTTTGGAAGGAACGCTTGTGATTCTTTATTTTGACCCCCTGCGTAACACAAAGCCAAATAAATTCCACAGATTAATAGATGCTTGAACGAGGGCACAATTACTTAGAAATTCCCCAGCTTTCATTTTAAATGTGGCGAGAGATGGAGAATCCAAAGGTCTAGATGAGTTTCTCCAAAAGTTACCTGCCTCCCAGCTAAGGGGGAAAAAAAAAAAAAAAAAAAAAAGACTCCTTCCATGTCCGGATTTTTCCACCTTTAACTTTCTGCCACTGGATCTTTGTTTGGTTTCTTATTACTAGGCAGACTTCCATTGCATTATCACTTGGTCTGCTTTTGTCTCTGACAAACTTTTATGCCCTTTGAGGATTCACTCCTATCCTTTACTCACTCTCGGTGCTTTTCTAAACCCTGTTGTTTATGCACATCATTCTTTAACTGGACACAACATAGTTCTATTATTATTAACCCTCTTTCAGTTCACTCATTTAGAGAACTTGCATAATTATGTTTTGATACCCAGTTGGACTAATTAAGCATTGGAATAGAAAACACGGGATGCAAAAGACAGATGACCATTGCGCTTAATATTGCAGTACGTTGTAGATAAACTCAGGAATCCAGGAAATGCTAAACGGGTACGCGCTAATTGGCCATACAGTACTGTGGTATTTTCAGTTCTGGTATTTGAGAAGAAAAACCCTGATCTCACCTATCTGCACTTCTGTCCCACCCTTAGTATAACAGCTTGCAAGAACGTTTATTATATATTACATTACTGAAATAATATGAACTTGCTACTTCGATACTGCTGTTAAAGAATTGTACCGGGTTTTGGTAGTGACACTACACCTGTCAGCCTCACCTCCATCCCCAGAAAGGTGATGGAACAGCTCATTCTGGATGTCATCTCTAAGCATGTGGAAGAAAAGAAGGTTGTCAGGAGTAGTCAACATGGATTCACCAAGGGGAAATCGTGCTTGATCAAACTGATAGCCTTCTATAATGGCATGACCGGCTGTGTAGACGAGGGGAGAGCAGTGCATGTTGTCTACCTCAACTTCAGCAAGGCTTTTGACACTGTCTCCCACAACATCCTCATAGGTAAGCTTAGGAAGCGTGGGTTAGATGAGTGGACAGTGAGGTGGACTGAGAACTGGCTGAATGGCAGCGCTCAGAGACTTGTGATCAGCAGCGCAGAGTCCAGCTGGAG